TTCCTTCCTTCCTTCCTTCCTTCCTTCCTTCCTTCCTTCCTTCCTTCCTTCCTTCCTTCCTTCCTTCCCCTCTCCCTCTCTTCTTTCTTTCTTGACAGTGTCTCACTCTGTCACCCAGGCTAGAGTGCAGTGGCATGATCATAGCTCACTGGACCCAAGAATTCCTGGGCTCAAGTGATCTTCTTGCCCCAGCCTCCTGAGTAGCTGGGACTACAAGTGCATGCTACTGTGCCCAGCTAATTTTTAACATTTTTTGTAGAGATGGAGGTCTTGCTTTGTTGCCCAGGCTGGTCTCAAACTCCTGGGCTCAAGTGATCCTCTTACCTCGGCCTCCGAAAGTGCTGGGATTACAGGTGTAAGCCACTGTGGCCAGTCCCATATTTCTATACACTAGCAATGTATGGTTGTAAATGGAAAAAATATTAATAACTATACAATTTACAATAATTCCCTGCCCCTTCGAAAAGAAAGAATTTAAGTATAACTCTAAATTAGAAGTATCCAGTATATGTATGCTGAAAACTAAAAAAAAACACTGCCTGCCTAGGCGACATGGTGAAACCCCATCTCTACCAAAAATACAAAAATTAGCCAGGTGTAGTGGTGCACGTCTGTAGTCCCAGCTACTCGGGATGCTGAGGTAGGGGGATGGCTTGAGTCTGGGAGGCTAAGGTTGCAGTGAGCTGTGATTGTGTCATTGCACTCCAGCCTTGGTGACACAGTCAGACCCTGTCTCGAAGAAAAAATAAAAATAAAAAACACTAAAGAACAAAATAAAAATGAAAGACTTAAATAAATAAATGAAGAGTGATAACTGTGTTCATGGATTGAAAGAATTAACATATCAATTATTCCCTAATTGATATATAGATTTTAACAAATTCTAATAAAAGGATATTTTGTAGAAACAGACAAGCTTATTTTAAAGTTACACAAAAAAGACAAAGGAACTGTAATAGCCAAAACAATTTCGAAGAAAAAAAAAAAAAGTTCGAGGAAGTATCATATTTGATTTTAAGACTTCTGATAAAGTCACAGTAATCAAGGCAGTATATTTGTGAAACCATGGGCCCATAGATCAATGAAATGGAATAGAGCCCAAAAGTAGGTGCATAGCTAGAAAGTTAATTGACTTTGACGAAGGTGCAAAAATAATTCAATGAAGAGTATTTTCTTTCAACAAATGATGTTGGAATAATTGCACATCCATATCCAAAAAGTCCTAATTTTTATACCTTATATAAAAGTTAACTTGAAGTAGATTGTAGATCTAAATGTAAAATTATAAAGGTTTTAGAAGTAAATGTGGAAGAAAATCTGGTTGACCTTGGGTTTGGCAAAAAGTTTTTAGATATGACATCAAAAGAATAATCTCCAAAAAAAATTGATAAATTGGACTTCATACAAATTAAAAACATTTGCTCTTCAAAAGACACCGTTAGGAGAATAAGACAAGCTACAGATTGGGGAAAAATTCACAAATCATAGATATAAAATCATAGATATAAAATATATATAAAAAACTCCCAAAATTCAATGATAAGAAAACAAATACCAATTAAAAAATGGGCAAATAATTTGAACAGCCATTGAATAAGACATACGGATGGCAAATAAGTATGTGAAAGATGCTCAACAAAAATTAGCTATTAGGGAAATGCAAACTAAAACCACAATTGATAAAACCAAAACCATCCCAAACAATACCAAGTGCGAGGAAGTGCGGTAACTGGAACTCTCATATATTACTGTTGGAAATGCAAAATGCAAGATGGAAAATAGTTTGTCAGTTTCTTATAAATTGAAACATACATTTACAATATGACCCAGAAATTTTATTCCTATGTATTTATCCTAGAGAAATGAAAACTTATGTTCACACACAAAACTGTACAAAGAGGTTTATAACAGTTTTATTATTTTACTACCAAATACTGGGAAGAACCCAAATGCCTTTCAGTGGGTGAATGTACAAACTGTGGTATACCCACATAATATAATGCAACTTAACAATAAAAAGGAATGAACCATTGATAAACACACATGAATGAATCTCAGAAGCATTATGCTGAGTGAAAGAAGCCAGTCTCAGAAGGTTACACTGTATGATTGAATCAAAATGACATTCTGGGCAAGGCAAAACTATTAGAACAGAGAACAGACCAGTGGTTGTCAGGGTCTAGGAGTCTGGGAAGTGCTTGACCACAAAGGGGTAGCATGAGGAAATTTTTTGGGGGTAATGGAATTGTTCAGTGTCTTGATTGTGAAGATGGTGACATAAGTCTATACTGGTCTTAAAACTCATAGATCTGTGCTCCAAAAATACCCTCCCAAATCAACATCCATAATCCCCCAATGACCACGCTCTATATACATTTGTGTAACATATATATGCATATACATAAATGTATGCATGCATACATATCTTGATTATGTTGGTGAGGTACGCTTAGATGTATGCATTTGTCAAAACTCATCAACCCTTAAAATGAGTGTGTTTAATTGTATGTAAATTGTACCTTATACAATTTTAAAAAATTTGTAATAAAATTTGATTGAAAATGTGGTCCCAGAACAGAAGAGAACAAGCTGCTTTGGTACTAATAAGCATTAGTTAGAACTGGACTGTTCTCTACTTTGCTATATGCTCTATGGAATTTCATGAATTTGATTAATAAACTATGCAAAAATATTTAGTGAGCAACCACAATGTGCAAAGTCCTGTGCTTTGAGTGCTATCAGAACTAGTGATGGTTTCTACCTTTTGAAATATAGTCACATAACCATAATAGAAATAGTCTGTGTATGTCATGTGGAAATAGAACACACAATACAAATTAGGGGTGCTGTGCTTTTTTGCCTTAGTTACGAGGTTAATAAACTCTCTGAATAGCAGCAATTACTAGCAAGTGCAAACTACTTTTTAAGAAACTAATTGTACTAATTCAACTAAACAAAACTGAGTGTCATTTAAAGACACTTAAAGAGTTTGAAGTGAAAGCAAGTGACAGAAATTGTAAGCTCTTTTTTTTTCTGACAGTGATGACCTCCCCAGGAGAGCATGCCTTTTGGGAAGGCTGTCCTTCACTGTTCTCCAGAAATGGAGAGGAGGCAACACAAGAAGCAGGGCCTGGTGCAGAGCCTCAATTCCTACTTCATGGATATGAAATGTCCAGGATGTTATAAGATCGGCACCATTCTTAGCCATGCACAAATAGTAGTTTTGTGGGTGGTCTGTTCCACTGTCCTCTGTCAGCTTATAGGAGGAAAAGCAAGGCTTACGGAAGAATGTTCCTTCAGGTGGAAGCAGCACTAAGAGCAAGATAAATAGGAAACCACCCCAATACACACATTTTGGATTTAAAAACTACTAAAAACAAAGAAAATGTAAGCTTGTAAGATTACTTGGTATGTAAGAGCTTCTGAACCCATGCATCTCTTTCAGGGGAAAAAAATTGGATTCTGTTAATGTGGACACTGACTACCTTCAACAAACATTTTTTTCACATTAACTTTGTTATGTGAGGTCAGTGTTGTTGCAACTGATGGGGTTTTGAGTCCACAAAGAAGAGCTGATTCCTGTACCCAAAACACACATTATGTATGTTTTACTAAAGATATGTTTTGTGCAGTTGCTGGTGTACTGGAAAATAGATGCTGTGAACTGGAGCAAAGGGAACTTGCTGTGAATTTAAGAGGAAGAGTGATGATGTACCAGAATTCACCACAGGAAAAATACGATGGGTAAAATCTTTTGCAGGATTTGTTCTGCTTACGTTGCCTTCTTAGAAAGGCATTTTGATAACAATCTGTTTTGCAATAGAATGTGTATTGATCTTGAGATGTTCAACCTCTTTAAAACTAACATTTCACTTTGTTTCTTGAGGAACAGATTTTAAACTTGTGAATTTTCCTTTCGTTGACAGCAAGATGACTTGAAAGAGAAACAAAAATTGGTGATTTTTCTAGGAAGAAATGAAAAATACTTCATAGAAATTGTAACAAAAAATTAAATTCTCTTTAACTCTTCTATGAAGAAATGGTTCTAAGGAGTTGATATCTGGGTTTCTGAGCCATTTTACTTTATTATCAACTACTTGAGCTACAGAATCTTCAGCTGGATGTCAACCTGATGAAACAGCCAACTTTACAGTAGAAAAGACTAAGATGAAAGTTCTTTAAATGATTCGTTTAAAGTCACACAGGTAGCTTGTAGCAGAATTCATGCTAAAATTTAGAAGTCTGTTTATCTAATCTGTTTACATCCACTATGTTACATTGACTTTCTCTATATTTATACACAGACACAAAAACTCACATGTAATCCAACTGTCACACAAAGTCAAACATATATAATGCCTTATCCAGAATATTGACCTTGTAATTGCAATTTTCATAAAATCAAACGAATTTCTACATTTTTTGATAAACGATATTGGAGAGTGTAAATACATTTATTGTTTTGTTTTGTTTTTTTGAGACAGAGTCTTGCTCTGTCGCTCAGGCTGGAATGCAATGGCATGATCTCAGCTCACTGCAATCTCTGCCTCTTGGGTTCAAGCGATTCTCCTTGCTCAGACTCCCAAGTAGCTGGGATTACAGGCACCCACTAGCACACCCCACTAATTTTTGTGTTTTTAGTAGAGATGGGTTTCTTCATTTTGGCCAGGCTGGTCTCAAACTTCTGACCTCAGGTGATCCGCCCACCTCAGCCTCCCAAAGTGCTGGGATTACAGGCGTGAGCCACCGCGCCCGGCCAATATACTTATTGTTATGCAATAATTCTAACATTTAACAAATAAGTTTTATCCTTCATGGATTTTAATTGGACACTTGCAGATAAAGATTTTCCCCTGGCTCCCTGATTCACTGAGTGCTATAAGAACCAGGTGCTCCAGCTGGAAAGCCTTGGTTTCAGACGTGTCTGATTGTGGTAGGCGGAATTAAAGCCCCCAAGAACACTCTGTAGCCACTAATCCCTGGGAGCATGAATATATTACCTTACATGGCAAAGGGGACTTTGTAGATATAAATAGGGTTACTAATTATTTAATCTTAAAATAGGGAGATTCCTGGATTTTCTGGGTAGACCCAATGTATTCACATGAACTCTCAAACCAGAAGAAGGCAGAAGAAGAAGGCAGGAAGTTAGAGAGATGCAGCAGAAGACATCAAATTGATTTGAAATATAAGAAGGAATTGAAGCTCTGTTGCTGGCTTTGAAGGAGTGGAGCATAACCCCAAGGACAGTTGGCAACTTCCAGAAGCTGAAAAGGAGCCCTGGCCTACAGCCAGGAAGGCAACAGGGCCCACCGTACTGGCAATCTGAATGAGCATAGAAGTAGGTTCTCCCCCAGAGCCCCCAGATAAGAGTCCAGGCCAGCCAGCACCTTGATGACCTCTGACCAGAGGACCCAGCTGAGCCTCCCCTGGAATTCTGACCTGTAGAACTGTGAGATAATGCATGGGAGTTGCTGTAATTTGTTAAAGCAGCAATAGTAAAGGAATATACTGTTCATGTGTGGAGGCTGGAAGGATGGACCACCAGGGTGTCAAGACTAAGATGTTTCCTGGGAACGCACTGGCCTTAAGAGAAGAGAGAGCTGGGATACTTAGGGTTTTCCTTTACAGTGTGGCAGTATCAGAAGACAGACAATTTTGAGTGTCCAGCTTTGTGTATCTACTCAAATTGCTTGTCAGGTCAGTGCCTTTCATTCATGCTGAAGCCTTTATCTTCAATAGAGAGGGAGTCTAAAAATCCTGAGCTGTTACACAAAAATTTATTTAAGACTTTTGAAACTATCAGATGCCATATATATATATATACACACACACACACATATACTGTAACAGAGTTTAGCAAAAAACTGAATTAAGGTTACCTTCCTCACAGGAAGGTTTCTACTGAAGCATATTGGAATCTACATGTTCAAAATGGCTTGGACAGTAAAAGAGCCACTTCAGAGAAGACATGGTAGAGGACCCTCAGTTTTAGAGGACTATGTTTCTAAAGCAACCTCAGTAGCTTCAGAATTGCAGTGTTTTTATGTTGCTGACCTTTACTTAAATTGTATAATTTACTCAGATAGTTTAAACTACTTACCTAAGATCACTGAACAAGGTAGAATCAAAACCTGCATCTCCAGGTTTAAATATATAACTTGGCTGTAGATTATGGTCTATTCCCTATTCTAATAAAAGAGTGTTGAAATTCAGCATTACTTAAAAATGGTAGATCTTGAAACACATATTTGGTCTAAACTGTCTCTTTTTAATTTAAAAAAAAATTTTATTTAAAAAATTGAGGCAGAGTCTTGCTATACTGCCTAGGTTGGTCTTGAACTCCTGGCCTCAAGCCATTTTCCTGCCTTGGCCGCCAAAAGTGCTAGGATTACAGATGTGAGCCACCATGCCTGGTTTAAACTGGCTCTTTTGGTTCAAAATATTGTATTCCCCAAGGGTGATATAAGTTAGCTTAAAGCTATTTATATGTTGAACTTGGGGCTGCAGAAATTTCTTTTACCAGAAGTAAGAGGCATTAAATAGACTTTGAAAAGGCCTACAAAGTCCTGAGAAAAAGATCTTCAAGTTAGATGATGCCCTCTGTGGAAATGATTCATGACGTTTTCTTGGCTAGATTGTGATCATATGTATGTAAACTTGCCTAATCCTTGTTTTACTGTTGCAGATTACTGTTGCCAAAAATTGCAAAATAAAAAGTATTTATATTGGAGCTATGACTGCATATAAACTAAGGAGCTTTCTAAAAGGTAGTTTCAAATGGAAGATTTTGGATTACAAGAACGATTCTAGAAGGGAGGGAGTGAGGTGGAAATGGCATAAGAAATGTGGGAAGATGAGGAGAGCATGGAGTGTTTGGAAAGTAGGGAAGCACCCTGACTGGATTGCAGAGTTTATGCTGGGAGAAATGAAAGTTTATAGTGGAGCTGACCTAGATTGTTAGTTAAGATTCACTGTGTCTTATGGATCCAGCAATGTCTTCAGAACAATAGAGATCTCACCTATAAGGGAGCTTCCGTGAGGCCACATAAAGGATGTTCCAAAATCAAGACTGCCACCAACACCTCTGCTGCCACTGTGCTTTTGCCTCTGGTACCCAGCAAACCAAAGAATGGATATTCAAAACTACTCGCAGGGAACCAGCTGAAACATAGTCATTTCCAAGGTGATATTTGCTCAAAAAGACTGCTAAAGAACCGACTGGAAGATGAGCTGTGATTGGCTTCTGCTCTTTAAATCTTACCCGTTAGGCATAGGACACATGCAGAGTGTTAGCTGAAGGGAGTGAGTGTAACATTTTTAGCTTTTCAATTTCTCTAACTACAAGATAAGTTGATAAGACTTTGTGAATCAGTCCACAATTTCCATCACATTTGGGTAGGTCATGAAAGTCTGGTACCATAAAACTAAGGAATTTAACATAATCTTGGAAAGAAAAACAGCTCATATATATTATTGAGTGCTTACCATATTCCAGAAACAGTTCAAACCACTTTTATATATAGTATCTTGTTCAATTTTCTCAATAATTCTATGAGAAATTATCCCCAAGTTACAAATGAGGAATCTGAGGCACAGAGAGGTTAAATTATTTGACAAAGGTCATAGAGCCAGCAGCTTGAGCTCATGAACCCCTGCTCTTAAATACCATGACATACTGCTCCTTGGGGGCAGAATCAAGGTAGCATTCCTGAAGGTGGTAATGCATCAATTAAGTGTTGAAGCATGAATAGTGGCTTTCCAGGCAAAGAGAGAAAAGTGCTTTCTAGGGAAAAGTATGAAGGTGGGATGGAGCAGGACTTATTCAGCAAATTGCTGTTGGTTTTATTTGGCTGCTGTGTAGGGTATGAGACAAAGTACCAAGAGATAGCATTAGAGAGGTAATCATGGAATAGATCCTAATAGGCCTTTGGTTCCCTGCTAAGAGATTTGAATTAAACTAATCAGATTTTCATTTTGAAAGATTCATTTCATTAAACTATGAAATATAAATTAGATGGAGGCATGGCAATGGTTATTTAGGAATTGTAGTCTAGGTGAGAAATGATGAGAGTGAAAAAATAAGAGGACATGAGAAAAATGTTGGTGGTAGGATCATAGGTACATAGCAACCAACGGATGTGGAAGGAGGAGTGTGGGATGATTTCTAGATTTTTGATAGTACATTTGTTGGGCCATAGAAGTTGGGGGAGGTAGGTTCCATTTTGTACATACTGAAATGGAAGTATCTGGGGGATATAAGTGGAAATGGTTGGTAGACTTCAGGCTGTAGCTACTCAAAGTGAAAAGTAGAACCAGAAACATTCTGGCTATAAAACCCCATGCTCTGGACAATCCCAGGAAGAAAATAAATCTTCTTCAAGC